TAACTTAACTGTCTCATATCTTGTGTATGTTATACACGTTACATATGACATATGTTACATATAATACACATATGTCACATATGCTATATGTTACATATATTAGCTACATTAAATATGAAATTAATTTAAAATACATAATATATAGAACAAAACCACTATAATAAATATTAAATTATAATAAAAAAATACTCTGTTACTCCCATAATATAATTTGCAATAAAGTACCCTAAATTACCAATACATTACAGAGTTAATAATGAAGTCCAAACTTAAACTTAACATTTTGCAAATGATCATCTCAGGAAGTTTCTCAACAATTTTCACCCACAGCTCACCTGTTCCATTCGTCTTATCTCAATTTTCTTCGCAGCCTGTTCATCCCCACGGTCCATCCGACCATCACATTTAATCCAAGATCACCCTTGTTTGCGCAGTTTTAGGTTACAACGCATCTAATGGATTATCCGTACATTCAGCCCGAGTACCTTCCAGGCCCGTGTCATCGATTCAATGGACGGCCCTGTGCTGCACATAAAAATAACAATGATTCTGTGTTTGCTCAACTTATTAGATGATTTTACCGCTGTGATCAGGGCAGAATCGTTTCAGCTGATGTTTCCATTCCACGTTTCACCACCTTTTACGTCTCAAAAATACTTGGCTATGATTGAATGACCTTACGCAGGAAATTGATCAATATGACTTAAAACACTTGCTCAATTGTTCAATTAACGAACAGAATTTTTACATGTTTTATGAATAAACTTGGTACAAAATGTACCAAGTACTAACTTATAACTTATGATTAACTTATAAGACTGACTACACGAGAATGAAAGAGAAGATTAATATTTTAAAATATTTTAAAAAATCAGAAGTAGAGGGTAGGAGAATGAAGGTATATAAAAAATATTTGCTGTTGTAAAAATATAAAATGAAATAAAAATAAAAGCATGATCTTGCAACTTACTAATTATGACCCCAATATTTGACCACTGTTTCAAATTGCAAAAAAAAAATTTTAGAAAATGTTATCAGTAAGCGTTCAAGACTTATCTATAAAATTAAACCCCATCAGTAAGAACACCACTACAAGCAGTGTCTAAGGAAGCTCAGAACTCATCTCGCTTATAAAGAAACAGTTTGTCCATTCGCGTCATAAAATTTGTCGAGTATTTGCAATAATTTACTCCAGCCTATTTATTCGACGATAAACACAACGAGGCGTTATTTATCGTCGGTAGGCGATTTCCACGTGCGAAAAAGCGTGCGAACACGGAGGCAACAACAATGTGCAGTCGATCGAAAGATACGCGATAACGGTCCTCTTGTGCCGTCGTAAAAAAAGGAAAAGAGACGGGAGACAACTAATAAAGTCGAGGCGAACAACTCGTAATGCGTAATCTTATAATGGGCCGATCGCACACGTAGCAACGTTACGGGAGGAATCATAACGGCTGTAAATCCGATCAATCAGCACGCGTCCCGTTCCATCGACCCCGAATCACCCTCTCGTCACCCCCGTTGGCAAATGTCTTGCGCGTTTCCGCGAAATTTTGCGATTAATGGTCGGCTTCCAGCGACGATCAATAGACGATCTCTCGGCTGCAACTTCGTTGCTGGATTCTGCTTTTCGACGGACGGGGCTTGAATTCGGCTCGACCGCGATTTTAACCCCTTTGCGATACTCCGTGCTGGAACTTTCGGGTTACGAATTCTTCCATTTTGTTTTTTCTTTCAACCAAGTTTTTTTTCTGAGTCAATTGTCATTTGAACAATTTTGTTGTCACTGGGACATATTTTTGGATACTGTAAAATTTGGATTGCTAAGAAGATATTTTTCAAATTTCCAATTTCATATTTCATGTGACTTTGCATATGTAGTCTTGAGATGTAAAGATGTGGGAGTCTAGGGAGCTAGTAATGTAGGGTTACAGAGACAGTTACATGGAGCTAGATTATCAAGTTAGGTTACATAGGGTACAAAGAATCCAAATGTATATCTGGGTGAAAATATGTGGATCTATCGATGTGAGGATCTGGTACCTGTCTACAGACATGTGGGTCCAGGGATGTGAGGATCCAGGTACATATGTCTAGAAGCATGACAATCTAACAACAAAATTTGGGACATATCTGTTTATCAGAGACCTAGAAACATAGTAAATGTCTCATCTGATGCTTGATAAAACAAAGTTGATACAAAATTAGTACAACAGTTACATTTGTAGCTACATTTTGCAGCTATCTCAACGAAGCTATTATAACATTCCCTCCATTATGCCACTAAATAAACATTAAACCTTGAAGTCTCCACGTTTCTACAGATTATCAAAAAAAGTAAAAATTCTTCTACCAAAGCGTTTACTCGTCGCCGTCTCCGCAGAAAATGGCAATCATCGCGAAACTACACCGAATTAACCACGAGGAAAAAGGAATCTGAAAGTTTCAACCGTGCGACATCGAGTCGAATTCATCGAGACGTAAAGTTTCGGTTCAAAGATGCACCTATCAGACGCAAGCACGAGCGATTAAGTCCAGTATGCAAAAAATTCGTGAGGGTAGCCTGTCTGCCACACCCCTGAGTCCAAGGAGTACCTTGACGGTGACCTTCGGGGGGAGGAGGGTAGCTTTCTGTCCTCAATGTTCTCCAGAGGCCAGGACGAGTTCTACGGGATAAAGAGAAAGAAGAGGGAGCGTAGAAGGGAGGGATGCACGAATGCGCGTGTATTTGTGAGAAATAGAGAATCTCGAGCTCTCATCGTGACCGCGTAGTTAGGTGTATGTGAATATCATGGGGGTAGGAGGGCGACGTAGAAGCGGAGAGATGTGTTGGTATATGGAGCCAACATCACCGGAGTGTCTCGGCGTTGGAGGCGCCAAAGCGTCGCGGCGCCACCCCCGGCGCCCGCC